GGATTCCAAACCTAAAAACTGAGACATTTTGTGCATATAGGTTAATGTTCATGTCTCATGCCCTTAAATTAAGGGGATTATATTAAGACAACAAACTAAATTTGTATATAATCTGAAGTAGATTATTGCTTTTAACAAACATTTTTTAACTAAAAGCTCTGTTGATTCATTATTAAAATTTAATGGAAACTTGCAATCCCTTAACTGACATTAAAATTAGTTTTGTCATATTTCTTTTCTGGATTGTTCCCTAACACTTTTTTACGAAAGGAATGCACTGTCTGTAGTAGATTGAAGTTTACAAGTCAGACATATTTGTTAGCTCACGATTTTAAAACAAACTTAGGGAGATATTGTTCTAGCTTTCTACAGAATGATGTAATTCTATGTAATGGGAAGTTGTGAAGGTTTTGAAGCTATAAAAAGTCAGATGAATTCATATGAGAATTTTTTTTTTTTGAATGTTATTAATCACAAAGTTACCATCTCTGGCATGGGGTTGTGTCTGATCACAAGCCAGTGGAATCTGAGAACAGCAGAGAATATCACCATGTATTGTTCTTGAGGGTTTTTTCAATCTATTACTATAAATTAAAACTACTCCCTATTGTATGCTATTACTGTCTGATCAAATGCAGTGATTTTTATTTTCTTAAATGTATGAAATATTTTTTATTTAATCTGCAGAGTAGGTGTTAATGATACAGAAAACAATGAACACATTTGTTTTATGTAACCAGTTTAGAAACAGTATTTAAGAATCGAGGCAAATCAATTATTGTAGAATCATAGAAACGTTTTTGTTGGAAAAGACCTTTAAGACCATTGAGTCAATTGTTAACCCAGCCCTGCCAAGTCCACCACTAAACCACATCTACACATCTTTTAAATATCTCCAGGGATGGTGACTCAACCACTTTCCTGGGCAGCCTTTTCCAATGCTTGATAACCCTTTTGGCAAAGAATTGTTCTTAATATCCGATCTTAACCTCCCCTCTCTGATCTTCCTTCTGGCCCTTCTTGTAGATGGGCATCACATTTGCTAACCTCCAGTCAACTGGGACCTCCCCAGTTAGCTGGGACTGCTGATAAATGATGGAGGGTGGCTTGGTGAGCACTTCCGCCAGCTCCCTCAACACTCTTGGGTGGATCCCATCCAGCTCCGTGGACTTGTGTGTGTCTAAGTGGTGTAGCAGGTTGCTAATCATTTCCTCTTGGATTATTCTGCTCCCCATCTCTGCCTTCCAGCTCAGTGGGCTGGTTACCCTGAGAACAATTTCAGTCCTTTGTACAGAAAAGACATGGTTAAGTTCACCTAAGTACTTCATGCCATTCAGTTTCAAAGCATGTAAAGTTGAGCTTCCTGGGGCACCTAGTAACAAATAATAAAAAAAAAAGTATCCACATAGTGTCTGAGCGGAAAAGTATTGTTTGACGTTTGTTCTTGATTTTTTTAATATGAATAATTTTCTCCCTTTATTTACTGCATTTAAAATTGCATCCTCAGTCAATAGAGCAGCTCACAGCTTCCGAAAGCATCATAGCCTATTACTACTTTTCTTTCATCCTGATTCCTAATCACACTGTCCACCCCTTCTGTCGCCTTGAGGAGTGCTTATTGGACCTTTGGCTAGGCTGATTAAACTCACTACACCATCAGAAAACTGCCCCCTTTTTTTTTTTTTTTTCCTCCCCCCCACCCCCCCCAGTAACTTGGTTTTCTGCAGTGTTAGTTGAGAGTTGGGCTGCCTGAGCTGATGAAAGGTCCAGCCAGTAGCAGAGACAGCCCAGGTAGGGGGAACCTCCAGGCAGAAGCAGGGAGATAGGGTAGCAGGAAGAAGGGCTTCCTTGTTTTAGAGCCAGTAAATAGTTAAATCCTTGTAGTCTGTCTGATACACCTTCATACTTGCAGTTGTACAGAACTGCAGTCACGTGATTTTTGGTGAGACTTAGGCTCCTTTGAACTGATGGACCAGACTTCCAAGGTATTTAGGTACCTGATAGTTAGGTGTGTAGATAATTTTGAAAATCTAGAGGTCTGCTGATCTTCCTAGGTTAAAAAAAAAAAACAAACCAAAGAAATCTTTATTGACTTTCAGATACAGGACTGCAGTCCTGATCTATGGAGAAGTTTTTCAAAATATTGCAGTATATCTGGAAACAACACATAAGCAACAATCATTTCTGAAAAATAAGACCTACTAACTTATTTTATGTCAAATGTAGCATGCAATACAAAAAATAATAATGATTATTAAACTTCTGTGTCAAAAGGTGAATATTTACTATTTTTTTTTGTAGAATGAAGCTATGCTATTTGTTGCCAAAAGTTAAATCTACTCTGAAGATTCCCACTGATAAACATTTACTTCAGCAGTTGGAATTATGTATTAGGAAACTTTTGTGTCAAGAGAAAGACAAAGATGTCCTGACTATTGTAAAAAGAGTAAGCATTTTTCTTTTCCAGCAGCATTTCGTCTTGGGATTATCATTAAAAGTTAAGATGATCAAAGTTATGCTTTCTGATGATCTTTTAATGTAAGAAAAGGAGACTAAAGAATTCTATTGTCTATTATGTAATTTTGAACAATTAAGAGAAGATGTAGTGTAGTGCATTCTGTCAAATTTATGAGAGTTAGTGTTTCCTTGGTTACTTACATTGCAGTTATTTTCTAGTAGCTGAGATTCAGGATTTTGGCTCAATGACCATTCGTGAAAAAATAACAGATGACTAAAGATAGGATTAAACGTTGACCCTAGTAAAAATGATCAAGTCTTTGAGGTAGAGATAACTTGTTAACCTATTTATTCTATGATACACAAGATTTGCAGGATTTTGAAAAGTTACAAATGTCTTTGTAGTGTGAATATCACGAAAAAGTACATCTTTAAGGGATGGCCATGCTTAGTCTCAAAGAAGCCATGAAGTGAAGTAGCTGAAGTTGATGACTTCCATACAGAGCCAGTCTGCAGGAGAGATTGGGTGACCACCTGCCTGGAGCATCCTGGCTCGTTCACAGATTGCTGAGTTGTTTTTTCAGCCTTGGTTCCTAGGTCCGTGCTCCAGCTATTCATGCTTCTGTGCTTTTGTTGAGTGTATTTTGAGTTCCATATAGATAGTCTATTAGTCCTTCATTGTGAGTCTCAGTGGGACTCTGAGAATACTCTTTGATAGTTTTTAATTGCATTTGTAGTACAAAAATACAAGCTTCAAATGTTTAGGAAGAAAAGGCATGCTTAATTTGGAATACAACTATTCTAAGTTGCCTATCTGAACAGTTTTTTAGGTAAGAGTTGAGTAAGGATAAATAACGTTTTGATTTTCTTTATAGACAGTGTTGGAATTGGACAGAATGGAGATCTCTGTAGATGCTGTAAGTACTTACTAACTTTAATACTTACCAAGTACTTTTAATTCCCATTTTCATGTAGTGATTTTTTATTTTTATTGATTTTATTTTGAAGTTTCAGAAAAGATTTTACGAAAATGATTTATTGGATCAAGAAAAAGAGAGACAAGAACATCTGCTTTTGGAAATGGTATATTTTATCAGTACAATCTGTTCCTTTTTAATAGTTTGTAGCTAAATATTAATGAGGCAATAATTTTAAGGTAGGGGAAGTGCATATTATGGAGAGACCTGGTAGGTTCATAATCTGTGTGTGGTTTCATTTTATACTTTAAAATAGGGTTAAGTCCTTCAAAGTAACATATAACTTCCTTTTCTTTACTGCCTAAATTTTGTTGTATCAGTTAGAAAAGCAAACTGGAATTTTTTTGAAAAATACTCATGTTTGATGCCTCTATAGTTCTAAAATCCCAAGCCCTTCAGTACACTTTATGAAATCTTTTTGAGGGAGCTCAACAATTTTTCAGGCATGTATAACATAATAAATTGAATAATGAAACACCTCAGAATCCATATACAGCTTCCATAGGCAAAGAAATGAATGCCATAACTTCTTTTGTGCCACGGAAGCTGAAGGAGGCTCTGTGTGCAACAAGCTTTCCTGTTAGCCAGACAGAAAAAAAAAAAAAAAAAAAGAAGAAAGAAGGGCCATTGACATCTGCAGTCCAGCATGAGGGAGACTTAGTGCAGGTTGTATCGAAGAAAAGGAGCTATAAGATACTTAGGAATTGGAAGAGAAGTCTGCAGAATGCTTTTCTTATAAAACTATAAACTTACAAAGCTCTTTATCTTCAGTCATGGCTGTAAGCAAAAGCTGCAGCAGGTGCTTCACCACATGGCTAAGATGTAGTAGGCTTACTACAAAGCTTAGAGTAGATTAGTGCAGTCCTCTGTTCTGCTGCCTCCTCTGCAGCCTGAGGTGGGAGAAGCTAAGAAGCTGATAGGATTTAGAAGAGGCCGAATTTCTTTAGTACTGTTCCTCTCACTTGTAGGAATTTAACTCCTCTTTAGAGAACCAGAACAGGTTCAAGATGGCCCTTCTGTTGGGCACTTGATTTTCTCAGTTCATGATACTTGTCTCACGTACTTCCTGCCACCTCCCATTAGCTCGAGCCAAAGGTTCAAGCTTTGTTCTCAGGACCTGCATACAGATATTCAGACTTAGCATTAGCATTTTTTAGGTAGAGACAATTAATGTTTTTATAGGGAAAGCATTTGGGGCTGTGGCAAAACAGCCTCCAGTGAGCTCTGTGTTATTGTATATTGTGTGATAAACATTAATTTTTACCCTGTTTCTACAGCTAGACTTTAGAAGAGCACCTATACTTTTATGATATATGCAATTGATACGGACATACTTTCTGTATCACAAAGATCTCATTGAGCATTGTCTATAAGAAGCATGCTTTTGAGGAACTGGAGGCATACACAGTAAATTGTGACCTGTTGCAGTGCTAAATAGATGAGGAGCCATTGAACCCAGTTAAATGTATCTGACTGCTACAGATTTTAATACTGAATATGTTAATAAGTTTCCTTAATTTTAGTAATTGACTTAGTAGAAACTATCTTCCAGCAACCTTGACCTGAATTAATTACCTCTTTTTTTTTTTTTTAACTTGGGTAGTAATTAGAGTGAAATGAAAAAAAATAAAGTAGAACAATTATGATTCACTTGGCACTTTTCTGCACTACGTTCATAATAAAGATAATATTATATAGCTTTTTGAAGTTGGAGTGTTATCTATTCACCAAGAATCCTGAAACAAGTATTGACTTTTGAAATTATTGATGTAGCTGTGTTAACACTGTCTTCTTTCTATGGCTGTGGTCTCAAAAGGTATTCTAAGGCTAGCTAATATTACAGAAAGGCAAATAAATTCCTTAAATTCCTTAAACTTGAAGAATTGTAAAAGTTGGGTTTGTTTTGCATAAAGGCTTATCAACTCTAGATGTTAGACCTTTAAAAAGTTTGAACATATGTGACACATTTGACCATTTGAGAAAAACATTTTCATTGAATTGTATGTTTGAATTAAAAAATATTGCCAGTTTTATTATCAGAGTATCTGTGTAGCGCAAAAATTTTACATTATCAGCTGCCAATTTTTGTATCTTTTCAACTAAAAATAAAAGGCCAGGCATAGTTTTAATATAAATTAAAAATGTGAACTTCAACTCTGAGGTTCCTTCATAATTAAAGTCAACAATTTTTAGTGTGATTTTTTTTTTTTATATGTACCCTGATATGTATATTGATTTCATTCTGTAATATTTCATTGATTCTCTGGATATTCACTAGAAGTTGTACTAATAGTATTAAAGAGTAGAAATTAACTTATTTTGGTGATTTGGAAGCAGTCCTTAATTGAAACACAATATTTATTTTTTTTTCTGAGTAATGCTTAAGAAAATTATTCTTTTTTTTTTAGGAACAATTAGAAAAAGAGAAGCAGCAAAGTGAAGGAAGATCTACAAGTATTAATGATAAAATGTTTGAAAAGAAGCGTAAGTTTATTTATGTACATATTGTTTGTGCATACATTACTCTTCTATAGAGGTAGAAGAGAAGGGAGCAGAAAAGACACTTTATACAGTAAATAGCAGATTTTTAGAAAGTGGCAATAAAACTTTTTTTCTATATATTTCTAAAGATATTTATGAAAACTGGCCTCATTATATTAGAGGGAAGACTTTTACCTTTATTTATAAAATACATGACTGTTCTCTGGTATTTTTCATTTTGGGAGGTAATGTAAATACTTGTCTGTGGTATATTTGAAGTGTTAGTAGCACTGAATTAGATACTGTTACTGTTTACCCCAGCACTGTGATATGTTATGTCCTCTTTTTTATTTAAAGTTAAACTTTAAGACAGAAGTATTTATACTAGACTTTTTTTTTTTTTTAGGTAGAGACAGTAAAACATCATCAGTATTGGCAAAAAGTATCACTCTCTCTGTTCCTGGAAGCTCTTCTGGTACATCAGCAGGTAAGAACTCTAAAAACCCTTCTAGAATGTTTTGATCTCACATCAGCAGGTTAAAACCCAAGAAAGCTCCTGTTGACGTTTGTGGGCCAGGGTTTCACCTGCTGCACATAGGAAAAGATTCCACTCCTAGAACTGTTTGTGTTTTCTATGTTTTTTAGTTTTATTTTATTCTTTAGTGTATAATTAGATGACATAAGGTTTATTTATTGTTATTGAAGTATTTAAATCAGTTCATTCAGCTAGCATAGGTTGACAGAAAATGATATTAAAAAGTGTTCTTAATTATTGAGGAAATGCAATGATCTCCATGTTAAAAAATTTTTGCTATTTATAATTTTAGGCAAAGAAGACAAGAAATCTAAGTTGGTTCGAAGCCAGTCTTTCAGTACTCAAGCACTACATCCAAAATACAGCAACATAGACAAGTGTCCTAAGTATTTTTATTATCTTCATTGCTTACCTCATAGGCAACTGTTTACCTAATAGACAACTGTTATGAAATTATATGCACATGAATGTATGAAAGTAGTGATGTGCTCACTGAATTGTGACGTAAATTTTCAGCTTTCTGTTTGATTAAGGTATGCAGTTTTGAACTGAGGGAGGAAATACTATTTTAGGATGTGCTGAGGCCTACAAATTCTTATTAATTCCTTTTAAGTTAATGTATATCACCTTATATATTAAAAATATTTTTCAATATGAACTGCTAAATCTAAATCTGTGCATTTCTTAAAGAAATTTCAGCATAACTCTCATTTAATTTGTTCATATAAAATCAGAAATTACCTTAAATATTATTAAACAGCAGGATGATACAATTAAGAACAACACTTTTCTGTCATAAGCAATTTGGTTTTGTTTTGTTTTTTAAGTAAAAGCTCTGCTACAGGATATACATCTTCAGTATCAGGAATGGGAAAGAGTTGTATGTTGTCCTTTAGTGGTAAGTAGGTTATTATATTTTACATTAGTTTTTTGTGTTGGTGCTGAATATGTGGGCCCCATTAAACAGGCATACTGTAAGATATCGTACTCCTAAAGAACGTAGAATACTACATATCCAATATGTTTGAACAATTAAGTGCTAGTCTACATTTTTTTTCAGATTTTTTTTTTTGTTCACATGTTTGTTTAAAGTTATGTTTAAAAGTAGTAAAAGTAAAATCAGTTTGGCATTTCTTGATTGGCATTTTGGATGTCATAAAAATGTTGGTCTTGCAATTTGCTTCCACCATTTTACACGAGGAAAGGCATATGTATAACTTCTACTGGATTAAGGGAGAGAAACTGCTGTCTGGAAATGCCCCTCTCTCCATTTGCTGTTGAAGACTTTGGATGATTAAAGATTACAGTGCGATGAATTGCTTGCTAGAGGAACCTTTTTCTGTTCACTACCAATAGATACTAGATAATTAGCTTAGATGAAATAGCTAAATTTTAAGCAGCTAAAGATTGACCAATTAAATCTCACTATTTTCATATATTAAATGTATTAATCTTCTGTTCCAAAATGTGTCTTCTAATTATTTTTATTTAATTCTTTTTCATAAAAATACTTGAAGAAATGTTAAGTTGAAACCATTCCCTTATAGAAACTTAAATCTTTTGTATTATGGCCATAGGAAATATGCCAGTATTGCCACAGGAAAAACAGCTCATTCCATTCACTCTCTGTGTATTCTTTGTCTAAACTGCAGCTCTTTATTTCAGATGATTCATTCCGGACTCATTCTGCTGGTAACAGTGGAAACACTGCCTTCCCTTCCAGTTCTTCTCGCAATTTATTTAACTCAGCTGACCAAAAGAACAATGGAAATAAGGAGAGGCAGTCTCGAAAGATGAGCATGTAAGTGTTTGACAAGAGATTAAATCAAGCTTATGAGTAACATTTTCAAAGAGAATTCAAAAAAGCCATGTAAAATTAAGCCTATATTTATGATAGTTCTGTGCCCAGATTTTGAAATACTAAACCAACAGGATAGTAATGTGATGTGTACAATTACAAGTGTTTTTAAAATTGTCTTGCATTCCCTCTTCATTAGTCTTTCACATTGGTGGTTCTGCACATGTTTGCATTCAGCTGGTACATGATGGGGAGGGTGGAATGGGATACAGTGAAGGTTAATGTGTTTGATATATAATTGCAGTCACTGTGATTTAGCTGCCTGTAGTTTGAGATGCAGAATTAATGTAGTGTTAGATGATTTAATTTTTCCTTTTACCTCTTTTTATGTCCTTATATATGTTTATGTAATACTATGTAACAATTTCATGATAAATTTTCAGAGTTATGATGAATCAGGTCTGCTACTTGTTATTAAGGCTGCCTTCTTTGCCTTACGTTAACCATTTAGATTAAAAAAAAAAATCAATGCTAGGCATCTCCCTCAGGCTGTTTTTTCTTTAAACATCAGCCTAAACTGTTCAGTGTTTTGCAAGAACAAAATGAAAGATGAATTTGTTTGCTCCTGTGATAAAAGTATAAGTCTTTTCTTAGAAAATCGCTGTGATGTGTACTTACTCAGTCAAATCTCTGTGGACTCTAGCAGCTAATTCCCTGCAGATTCCTTTTACACTATAGCTTGTAGTTCTAAATTACTATCATTGGACTAGCTGTAATTTTGGGTGCTCAAACTGAGATTTTTTCTTTCCTATCAGAGATTTGCTTTCTTAGCCAAGGCAGAATGGAGAAAGGAAAAGAGCCAGCTATAGCAAGAAACGGAGGTTGGTTGGGAAAGTAGACTTGAGTGTAGTAAAAACTAGAACTAGAAGCTGAAAAGGATGGGGAAATGCAAGCTGGGCCTTGGAAGTCTGAATAGGTATGAGAGACCAAGAACGAAAGGAGAGTCCAGAATGCGAGGTGTGCATTCAGCTACTTATATACATTGTGTTATGATACAGTCTCTTGCTGTGTGATCACGTAGGGGTTTTTCTACTAGAATTTTACTGTACAAATCAAATTTGGTTTGGAATGAAATCAAGTTTGCATCGTGACCTGTTGTTTTTAAAACTACATTTTCTTTGTACAAAAGGTTCGAATATAAGTAGTGAATGAAGGTACAGTGTTTGTGGAGTCAGTGGTTTCATTGCAGAAGTACTTTAGATGCCAAGTCAAATTGCACTCTATCCCTGTCTTTGACAGAGTCAAATACCTTCTCTTAAATTTTACCCACAGTACTTACTTCAGACTTTTTACAGGTGATCATTAGGTGGTCACCAATTTCAAAGAGCATGATTTCAAACTCAATAGATAGCTGAAAATGTCAGCATGTCTACTACTCTATCTATAAAGAAAACGGGATATGTATCTTGAGTACATGAAATGATGTATGGTGCTACGTACTTTGAAAAATTAGGTGTGCTCAAAAATCCATGTGCTTTCACTCTAATCACTGCATATAACTGTTCGCTGTCTTTAAAACCAGAAAATTAGTTCAAATATTGTAACTTTTTTTTTTTAGCAACCATTGTAGAAATTCCAATTACTCATCCGTCTCACAAGGATTTTAGGAAAATAAATGGATTAATATTCACAAAGGAATTAAATGCAAAGATTGGTTAGACATATTTTTTGCATCACATAAAACTTTTACAAATATCAAAGGTTTTTCTATCTGTCATTTAAAATAAAATTGCTATCTTTTTGTTTGAATAGAAAGGGACAGAAGATGACCCACAGAGAGCAGTTTGTACCTTTGTCTTCAGGCAGGAAAGTGGAATATAGGAGACTTGGCTTCAAGTCTCAGTGTACCAATCCCAAGTGAAAACTTTTAACAGCAGACTATTTGAAAGTAGGTATCTGATCAAAAACAGTGATAAAAAGTAGCAACGTAGAATGGTTTGGGTTGGAAGCGACCTCAAAGATCCTCTAGTTCCAGCTCCCCTGCCATGGGCAGGGACACCCTCCACTAGACCAGGTTGCAAAAAGCCCCATCTAACCTGGCCTTGAACACTTCCAGGGATGGAGCATCCACAGCTTCTATGGGCAACCTGTTTCAGTGCCTCACCACCCTCACAGTGAAGAATTTCTTCCTAATATCTAGTCTAAAGCTACCCTCCTTCAGTTTAAAGCCATTACCCCTTGTCCTATCACTCCATGCCCTTGTAAAGAGTTCCTCTCCAGCTTGCTTGTAGGCCCCCTTTAGGTACTGGAAGGCTGCAATAAGATCTCCCCGGAGCCTTCTTTTCTCCAGGCTGAACAACCCCAACTCTCTCAGCCTGTCTTCATAGGAGTGGTGCTCCAGCTCTCTGATCATCTTCATGGCCCTCCTCTGGACTCAGTCCAACAGCTCCATGTCCTTATGTTGAGGGCCCCAGAGCTGAACACAGTACTCCAGGTGGGGTCTCACAAGAGTGGAGTAGAGGGGGAGAATCACCTCCCTTGACCTGCTGGTCACACTTCTTTTTATGCAGCCCAGGTTATGGTAGGCTGTCGGGGCTGCAAGTGCGCAATGCCGGCTCATGTTGAGCTTCTCACCAACCAACAACCCCAACTCCTTCTCCTCAGGGCTGCTCTCAATCCATTCCTTGCCCAGCCTGTAGTTGTGCTTGGGATTGCCCCGACCCATGTGCAGGACCTTGCACTTGGCCTCATTGAACTTCATGAGTTTTGCATGGGCCCACCTGTCAAGCCTGTCAAGGTTCCTCTGGATGGCATTCCTTTCCTCCAGCATGTTGACTGCATCACGCAGCTTGATGTTGTTGGCAAAAGGTGTACTTGATCCCACTGTCCATGTCACTGACAAAGATGTTAAATAGTGCTGATCCCAATACCAGCCGCTGAGGAAAGCCACTCTTACCTGCTCTCCACTTGAAGTGGAGAGCCATTGACCACAACACTTTGTGACATCCAGCCAATTCCTTGTGCACCAATTAGTCCATCTGTCAAATCCATGTCTCTCCAATTTAGAGACAAGGATGTTGTGCGGGACAGTGTCAAATGCTTTGCACAAGTCTGGCTAGATGATGTCAGTTGCTCATCCCTTGTCCACCAACGCTGTAACCCTTTTGCAGAAAGCCACCAAATTTGTCAGGCATAATTTGCCCTTAGTGAAGCTATTTTGGCTGTCACCAATTGTCTCTGTATTGTCCATGTGCCTTAGCAGAGTTTCCAGGAGTATCTGCTCCATGATCTTGCCAGGCACGGAGGTGAGACTGACCAGCCTGTAGTTCCCTAGCTCTTCCTTCTGGATACTCTCCCTGGTTCAGAAAGTCCCTAAAATGCATAGTGTCAGAAGCCAAGAGGATATACTAGGGGAAGAAAAATGGGGTTTTTTTGAGAAAGAAGAGCAGGCTTAGGGTGACCTACATTTAATTCTGAATAAGAGTTTTAATGTTTTATATTCTTATGGGAAAACACATCTCTCCAGTTGATATAATGTCTGCTGTACTGTAGATTCAATTTCGCTTTTGTAATCTGGCCCAATACTTAATTGTTTTCATAAGAAAATGGAGCAGGTCTATAAAGAGGTACTAAGAGATACAGATACAGGAATGGGTGGTGGTAAATGCCTTCATCCTTGACCTCGTTGACAACAGATATGTTTCTTTTGTTCAGAAAGTTAGTCCTGGTGCTAAAGGTACACATACTAAAATACAAAAATGTAAGTTTCAAAGAAACATTATTTTCCAAGTTGAATGACGGAAAAAAGTTATATCCAAATACATAAGTAATCTCAACTCTTATTGATAGAAGAATTTGAAAATTGTATGATGAGAAGTGCAATTGAATAGATGCTCATGAATAACTGTCACCATATATGGACTCACTAAGGCAGAAAATGTGAGAAAATAATATTTGAGTATATATTTAGACTATATCATCATGCACATTTACATATGTGCTGGTTAAACATTGCACTGACCATCTTAATTCTGGCAAGTCCTAGCTTTTAGTTTATTGGCTCTGCAACATGAATAAGGTAACTTCAAATATGTTTCTTTTTCTAAGTAATTATGTGTGTTTGTGAAGAATGGAAGATTAGGCAGTAATATGTTGTTTAATAATTAAAATATCAACAGATATAATTAATGATTCTTAGTTCAAAGTGATACATGTTTGGAAAAAAAATTAATCGTTTAATCTTTTCCATAAAAGTGCTCTACTGAATGTTGGCAAATGTTCACTTTTGACAATATAGCGCAGTTTGCAGGGATGAAGATTTTCTGATTTCATATATTCATGTTGTTCTAAGAATTTTGCAAAACCCAAAGTTAGTTCGATGGAAAACTGAGGTCTTTACTTACCATACTCGTGAGTTCAGACATTTTGTTTGTCCCATTTCAGAGATGTGTGTGTCAATTAAAATATCTCTTATTGAAAATAATGTAGATGCAAGAAAAAAAATTATCTCAGTAAATTCTGGTCCAGTGCTCACAAGCAGGTGACAAGAAAATGAGCATTACCTCTGGTGTCATTTGCTAGACCTTAGGTAATACTCAGGCAATAGAAAATGCAAGAATTATGCTAAAGATGCACGTGTATAACTTAATGGTGGAATCACAAGAGAGATGAATACCTGCTTTAAGCACCTTATGGGATAGGAAAGAATCGCAAAGCGCACTGGTTGAGTATTTCATCCCACAAGAGACCTTACTTAAGTCAATTTGCAGAGCAAACGTGCTTCTGACTTTGTGTTGAAGAGTTGCCAGTTAGATCATGAATCATCCTAGAGCAGAAATTGTCATGATTCATAAACACTGCATTCCATCAAGTAGTCCGATCTTGAATTATTATGCTATGTAGCTTTATTATCTTCTTTTAATTTTTTTAATTTTTATAAGATTAAGATATTTTCTTTTAGGATGGGAAGTGCTGTTTTGTTTGAGTTTACATTGCTGTAATATGACTGATTTGCATATGCAGTTGGTTAAAACTATTTTCCAGAACTTTATAGATCAGCTTATAAAATATCCAGCTTTATAGACAACGTTTAAGAATTTTGCATCTTGCCTATAGACATACAGATAGTGCCTGATTTTATTTCATTTTCAATTAAAACTTCAGGAATGAGGGGTGCAGGTTTTCCATCCTGTAATAAGTGGAAGTAGATTTATTGTTACATAGAAATCAATTTCTGAATAATAAATTGATATCAGTATTTTGTAAGATATTCACAACTGACCTTTAAGACATCCACATTAGTGTGTGACCATGTTGTAACAATTATATGCGTAAGTATGTTAAAATAGTGTCTTTCATCCAGTTATATAATTGCTTAGGAAGTTGAGCACAAGATGAAGTAGTTTTGCCACCAATCTACTACACTTTGAGTCGATTACTTATGGCTTCTAATCATGTTTTCATCCTGCCATCTAAGATGCTTAGAGTTCTGAGGTCCAGTGGGACTGGCATGTGATTTGGGTCCTGTTTCTAAGATGAGGCTAGTAGATATCCTGACGCTGATATGTTATCATGATAGGTTCCATCAGCAATTTTGAAGGGTGAAACAGAACAATGTATTGCGTTATGTCTAAATGATACTGTAAAATATTAATGCAAATCAATATTCAAGAGTTCTAAAAGTTAAGCCCTGTGCTTTGAAATATTTCTGACCAATACAGTTGTTAATTGATATACCTACAACTCTGTGAAGTTGAAGAACAGTATATTTAAAGATTAAAAAATTAAGGCTATGAAAAATGCAGGAATTGCCCAAATGACATTGTGATCAACAGAAGACCTAGAAATAACATTGTAAAAAGCTCAAAGCTTCTCTCTCCTCCCTGTCTCCACTTTCCCCAGATTTTATCATGGTTTAAGCTGCAGACTTCTGGCATTATTTGTAGCTATGTGCATGTAACTGTCTCAGAGGGATCTCTATGTGACCTTCTGTAGAGAACTTATGGAGAAATACACTTTTCTTATGACGAGTGCCCTCAGAAAGTGTCCATTTGACTTTCTCAGTGGGTGCAGTACAGCAGCTAGTAATTTTTAAAGTACAGCAGCTAAGAGTTATATTAAAATGTTGCACGCAATAGCAGTTTATTATGTTATTTAACAATATAGCAACAACATATTATGTGTGTTTCTTCTTTTGTATGAAGAAAAAACAGAAAATCAAACTCTTAGATCTTCTGATAGAAAAAGAAGGGAACCAGAGACTGGTGGAAGCAACGTTCTGGTGTGATAAGGTGGAGGCGGCAGATGGGATTCTCTAATGCCTGGAATGAATAAAATGCATCTTGCAATGTTAAAACTTTTTATCTTTTAAATAAAATCCCGAGCTGTAAAATATGTTCTGATAAGTAATGTAATGGTTGCAGAATTCTAACGTTGTAGTGAAATGTTATGAAATATAACTTCAGCTATGTGCTCTTAACTGCTGCAGCTAAAGAGAGGATTTTGTTTTATTCCATTATGCCTTTGTAGTTCAAATTCTTGGATTCAGAATGCATATATCCATTATTTAATTGGCTTATTTACGATTTTAGCAATTCTTAGCACCCATGTTTTATGCAAGAAATAGAAGGAATTGTTATGAAAATGAAAAAGTAATCCCACATTTTAAAGAATCTTCAAACCTCCTTTAAGACCAAAGTCCAGAACCATTGATCAGTCTATAAAAAAACATAAACTTTTGTAGCATTGTGCTGTGAATTTGGAGGTAATGTTTTTACAACTGCTAAGTAAAGTTCATAAAATCCTGTGTGAGTTTCAAAGCAATCTAAAAGCAAATGTCTCCAGATGGTATAAAAAAAAAATATTGTTTCATAAGTTTTGTTGTATAAATACTTGTTTTAATTTTTAGTATTTCAGACTGTATTTTCACTTGAATAATTTATAATGATGAATCTAGTTTTTAATCAGCTTCTATTGCAAGCTATCATGCTTTGGTGATGTCATCTGCATTTGTTTGTATTAATGCTAATGTTTCTATCAAAATTTGTCTGTGGGAAAACATGCAATTCTATTTTAAAAAGTTCTATTTATGCCAATACTTGAGAGAGAGCCTATGAAGCTATTGTCAGCTTCTCTATTTCAAAATGGAGGCAGCATAAATATATTGATATCAGAAATACGTGGTTTTTAAAATTTATTGGTGTATGATAAAGATGATCTGATCTGTGAATGCATATGCGTGTGTGGTTACTTTTTATAATGTAAAAATATGAATGATGATTTACTCAAAATAAAACCTAGGACAATGCTGTACATGCATGTTCTTGAAAAAAAATTTCTCAGGGCATCTTTTGTAATTAAAATAAATAAAAGCATTTACCTATAGAAGGTATTTATTTTAAATAGTAATAATGCTGGATGTATACTGTCTTGTGTGAAGTACAAAATGTGTCTTTGGATTTAGCACTGTTTTACTGTCTGAATTCTTAAGCTTCTTACATTGCAGTTGGATTTAGGTGTATTCTCTGTCTTTAGTCACAGACATTGTTTGGATTCTGTGGAAACACTCAAGTTTTCAGTTTGTTCTGCAGCCTGGTGTAGGATCTCGTAAATCACAGATTTCTTTGAAAACTTCTTCAGTATTATGATGTTTAACATGCAATATTGATACAGATACACAGATGACCTATACTGGCTCCTCCTAGGTTCTGCTTTTGTCTCATTAGTGAAAACAGATACTCCCAGTTCCCCAGGGACTAACTCAACATGCCAGAGCTGCTCACCCGTGGGCCACAGGAGACTGCTCAATCTGTTCTCAGCCTGACTTCTGCCAGGGACCAAACTTGGATCCCAAGTACCCAGCTGCAGAACAGGACTCAAAACTGTGTTTGACTCTCTGATGCCTTTACTAGAGCAATGCAGAACAGCCAGTAAGTTCAGAAACTTGAACACAAGCTATTTCTCCCCTTAATAAGCATGTAATGAGTTCTGTATACAGTCTGTCTTTTGTTTCTTATTGGCTGTCATTTGTCTGTCATTTTTAACTGATTTAACATACGCTCCACTCAATAACCCTACTATGTATTAAATTCCTGCTCTGTAATCTTTAAATGCTCTATTTAGACATTTTTTTGGTCTGCACATCTTCCTTGTACAATACTCCTGGTGTCTTGTGTATACTTTCATCAGTCCTTTGCACTACAGATCTCCATCCCAGCAATCTTTTGTGGGGCTGCTTACTTCTGGGTTACTTCTGTTGGAAAGCACCAATACTTTTGAACCCTTCGTTGCGTTGTTTTACCTGCAACTCAGAATAACAGCTGGAGGTCAACTGTACAGTGATAATTGGATGGTTCTCATATAGAGCACCGTTCCTCCTGTTATTCAGTCAGAGGCAGGAAGGACCAATTCTCTTTCTTTCTGGGCACGTTCATACTGCAATGTGGAGTTAGGTTACATGCACCTTCGTAGTCTAGTCAGATACCAGTCTGCCTGCTAAATCCTTTTGTGAGTGGCTTACACCAGTGTTTGGGCTGCTGTGGGTAGACATCTAATAGTAACTGCAGTGATTTTGAGAGATGTTTACCAGCTTTACCCTGTAATGTATCTTTTGTATCTTCTCTTGCGGATGCATCTGTCTGTGTGCGTTTACTGATAGACACCTTTGAAGCTTCTTTGCCAAATGATTTTGAAAACTTTTCTGCCCCCTTTTGGGCAGCTGTTTTCTGAAGGCTGTATGAGCAAGCAGAGTAACGCTTAGATCTGTTAGGTATATATAGCTAAGAAGTAGCTTTTTGCATTGTCTCGTACTTTATATATAGGAATCTGCTGCTAATTAAAATTTACTAAATGTTAAAGATCTTGCTGTTCTGTTGGAATCACTGCACTACTTGAATAAAGTGAATTGTATTTATATAATGGAAATATTTTTCTGAAATATTTTGACAATGCCTTTTGGATTTTAGGATCAATTCTGTGAATAGATTTATTCCACTGTTATGGAGGTATGTTTTTTTTTCCTGCCAAAGTCTGTCTTAGTTCAGACATAGAGGCCTGTTATACAGTTCACCCTGATGTCTAGATGATAATACATGCAGAAATTCTGTTTTTAGGAGAGGCCCAGCTTGGTGTTATGAAGTACTACAGATTCATATTTTCCAGGTCCAGAATACCAAAGTTATTTTTCAGAATTATTTTTTCTTTAGTAGAAAGAATATTTTAAAAGCAGGCACATCATGTACCCTGAGAAAATGAAGTTTTTTGATACTCTGAATAAACACTTTGAAAGAGGTCACACTCCCAGATGATGCAGACTTCATGTTAGACTCAGTGTAATTTCTACAGTAATAAAGTAAAGATCTCTAGACAGAGGCTGTAAATTCTCTTTGAGGGCTTGATCCTGCTTCTGTTGTGGCAAAATTCTGCTAGCATTGAGGTCAGTAGTCTCTTAAGTCTCATTGCAACAGAAGAGAACATTGAGGAATATCAAGCCTGCAGTGTTTGGGAATGAGCTTCCTGAAAATCTTGGCATATGAATCTCTGCTTTCTCTTCAGCCCTATTACTAAAATATTAATAGGATGACCTACTGCTAGCTGGAGAGACAAAACAGGTTTTCACATTTTCATATTTCACTGTCTTTTTATTCTACTGTAAATTAATAAAATAGAAATAAAGCCTCTTACATACCCCAGAATAGAAACTGTTACCTTTATTCACATTTCTGTTGGATCAACCACCCTGCCAATGAACAGTAATGTTTTAAAAGTTTCTTCAAAAATCATAAAAAGGAATGGTCGGTCCACTTTGATAACAGGAGGCAGTGTGAATGCAGTTATTTCTGACCCACTAGCTACTGCAGCCTCAGTTCCTTCTTCATCAACTTCAATTACTGCCTTTTGGACAACCTGAAATGCAATGTAGAAATAAAATATGTGACGATTATTAACATGAAGAATGTTTTTCCAAGTGCAAGGCATTTAGTTGAAGTAAGCTTTTGTTAAGGATTAAAATGAGTAGATCTGTGCAATCTAGCTCCGTCTGTTAGACTGGTAGACCCATATGCTGTCTACTTCAGCAGCGGAGGAGTTAGTATCCACAGTGTGGATGCGAGTTCAGGTGTCATTGTGCTTTTCCACATTTCTGAGCATAGGCCTCACTTCGAGATTTTGTTCCCGCAGCTGGTAGCATGAAGCAACCATTGCATCTGTATAGTGCTCCTCTGTGACACCTAACTCTACAAGGGAGAGGTTCTTAAAAGTGGGAAGTGTGTTTTCATCAGTGACAAACACTGACTGCCTATGTCATTCACAGTTTATTTTGTGAGAGCTTAGGCAAATGCACCAATGTTGGCTTTTTCCCTGTATATTTCTAATTTGTACGTTTGGTAGCACAAAGTAAATATGTACAGCAATGAGGTACAACCCTGGATTGGTCTGAGGACCTTCTCTTGACACTGAAATTGCAGCCTGGCAGAATCTGATTCTTTTCCCTTTTCATTCTTTCAGCCTGCACGTACCTCTGAGTGCTTCCCCTGTATTTGGGTCTGTAGTGGTGAACTGTCTAGTCAGCTAGAGCATTCCCAACTCATAAACTACTAATTCTAGGAATGACTTATGTGAAGATGGTTGAAGGACTTCACCAGTGTTGAGCTCTCGGCTAAACATTCTGAAATAATGAAGCTAGTGTCATGATTCACAGGGACAGGATGCTCCTCTGGCACTTTGAAGCTGATGCACATACTGCTTCTAATATCGGTTAGCAGCTACTATTCAAGTGTTATTTTTTCATAACACAATAGAGTTAGCTGCTGAGAATCAGCATGAAATAGTTATATGATCAAGAGGAAGGGAGAAGAATGCTGCAGATTTCCATAGTATTTCCCAAAAGTGAAATAATTTATGCCAAACTGAAACTCACTGCAATTTTATCTGTTAAATATTCTTAGGATGTTATGTTTTCCCAGCAAGGTTATTTTATTAAGCCAGCACCATTTTGAGAAACTGTAGTTCAGGGCTTAGAGTTTTTGAAACTTGTATGGAAGCATTTATCATACCACCTATTAACAGTTTTGGCAAATCACAAAGTCTTCTGTAAGGATTTGGTGTAGGGAGACTTGTAACAGCAGCACCAGTAGCATAGAAGGATTCTTTCTGATAAGGTACCAATAACTGAAGAGAGGGTGCAAAGAAGAGGGAGCCAGGCTCTTTTCAGTGGTGCCCAGCAACAGGAC